CAATACTATCCCACCCAACTTTCTTATTAAAATCATCTAATAAAACAACATCTTGTCCTTCATAACCATTCCACCAAGTTGAACCATTCCTTTTATGTTACACACAAAATTGACAAAAAAATGGCTTTTTAGTACCTAGTTTTGACACTTTTACATATCTTTCGTTTATTGCAATTATTAACATTTGATATTTTTACAATTTTTCGAGGTTGAGATTTATTTTGAAAAGAAAACATTTTATATTTATGGTTTAAAATTTTTTTCATAAAGCTATTTATATTTTATTTTATTAATAATAAAATATTTAATTGAATAAACTCATGAAATCATTTGTTTCAAAAATGATACTTTTTTCATAATAAATTTTTGCTATTTTAACATCGATATTTAAGACAATAGATTTATAATCATGAGCTATAGTGAAAAGATTATTATTTTTAAGACTAAGGAAGGAATAAGAAAAACCTTTATTCACTCCAAAATCGAAAGATTGACCATCACGAAATATAATTAATTTAATAAGATTTTTTTCTTTGATAAATTCAAATGAGTAATACGCATCATCATTAATATAATGAAAAACAAAACTTTTTCTAGATTTATGAAATTCTTTCATTTGATGTCTGTGAAATAATAAATTTTCTTGAACTTCTTTTTGTATTTCATTTAATTCTTCTTTACTTAAATTTATTAAATTAAATTTTTGTTCGAGAATAGTATTTTTGTTTTCATTAATCCATTCTATATTTTTTTCAGGTTGTTTAGTTCTAGTTTCATTCAAAGGTTTAGAATATGGTTTTGTTTGATATCTTAATTCTTTATAAATATTTTTATGACAACTACAATAATGTTACATAATACTTTTATGTTTATCTTTAGGATCTCGATTTTTATAAGTACATTTTTCTTGTAAACAAGAAATAGTATTATCATCTTCTATTTTATAAAGATTTAAAGACATTTTTAATCAGATGAAAAAATTTTATTTATGAAAGAATTTTATCTATGAGAGAATTTTATCTATGAGAGAATTTTCAAGCTGATGGAATTTTCAAGATGATGGAATTTTCGCAATATATTTATAAGAATATTTAATTAATAATACAAAATTTAATATTATTTTATCACATTTATCATGTGCTTTGTGCTAGCCGAAGGCTAGTAAGCCTGAGATTGAGCTTCGAAGAAGCTCTATCGAATGAGATTTGCAACAACGTTGCATATCGATCTGAAGGTAGAGGAAACGGAAACGAAATACGCAGTAATGGAGGATTCCGTTATAACCCCCGAAAGCTGAATACGCAGTAATGAAAGTGTATCGGGAGAAGTTTCCCCAACTTCAGAATGAAGTACAAAAATAAAAAAAGGAAAGATATGTAAAAGTGTCAAAACTAGGTACTAAAAAGCCATTTTTTTGTCAATTTTGTGTGTAACATAAAAATTAACCACACCAGAAAAAAGTTAAATGAGAAATGTGAAAAAAAAACAGAATTTTATTATGAATGAAAAAGTG